TATTAAGAGCTCTGGGAATCGGGGTATATTCAACCCAAATCTGACTCCGGCCATACATCCGAAATGATCGTGTTTTATACTCTATCGTTACATAACTTTCATGTTAATTAATAAACTTATATTGTTCTATTGTATACATAAATTTAGCCCCTCTCTGAATTTCCAACATAGTTTCTCACTATTCTTCTTATGGTTATATAATAATTACATTTAATTACTAAACAATCATCACATCTAACAATTATATAATTTATCATACTGCTTACGCAGGTGCAGTTGATCTGGGAAAGCACAAAGCCTAACATTTTAGATTCTATCTTTAACTTTTTCCAGGGTTCCACTATCAATAGAAACTTGGGATTCTCAAATACTTCTACACCTACATCTTCCAGAGTGAACTCTCACTGTGGCAGGGAGATGTTCCTTCATTTACCTGCTCACAATTAATATTATTTAGCACGGGCCAGACCGGCAGCGCAACCCCAAATGAAGGGAACGTTTAAAAACCATTAATATCATTTTAAAAGGTATTTGAGCCCTCTCTTTTGGCCTCTGTTTGGCTGCGGCGGGCCGGTGAGTGACAGCTTCCCTGCTTGAAGCGCGCAGAAAGCACAGCCTTCCTCATTCACTGTCAGCTCCGGGGCCTTTTCACACGTCCCCTCCGCAGCAGTGTTTGTCCCCAAACACTGGGGCCCGGCACAATGGCATTCCTGCCCCGACAGCCCCGCTGCTGACGGGAATGCTAATGAGGGGAGCATCCCCCATCCCTCCCTGCGCCGCCTGCAGCCCCAGCCCTGCTGCTCCCATTGTTGCACCGCGCAGCTCGCTCGCGTTTACTTGGGAAAAGGGTTTTTGGGGGTTTTTTTGGGTCCTCTGAAAGTATTTTTAGTAGGTGTTGTAGAGGCTTGGCAGGGAAAAAAAAAAAAAAGTTTTTTGGAAAAAGTCCCATGTGCTTTCCTCCAACTGCGTGCATTACATATAAAAGTGATTATATTATGTAAATAATTTTATAACTATACATATTATACATATAAAACTGACTGCTTTTATGATATAACAGAGTTATATAATTATATATGATATATAGAAAATTAACTGGTTTTATGATATAAAATAACCATATAATAACATCTAATATACATAAAATTACTCCTTTTATGGTATGTATAATATTATAATTATATATATAAAATTAACTGCTTTTATGATATATATAAAATATGTAAAATAGACTGCTTTTATGATATAACAGAGTTACATAATTATATATGATATATAGAAAATTAACTGGTTTTATTGAATAAAATAATATAATTATATCTAATATATATAAAATTAACTCATTTTATGATATGTATAATATAATTAGATATATAAAATAGACTGCTTTTATGATATAACAGAGCTATATAATTATATATGATGTATAGAAAATTAACTGGTTTTATGATATAAAAAAATATAATTATATCTAATATATATAAAATGAACTCCTTTTATTGTATATTATAATTATATATAGAAAATTAACTGGTTTTATGATATATATAAGAATATATAAAATATGTAAAAAAGATTGCTATTACGATATTAAAGAATTATATAATTACATATGATATATAGAAAATTAACTGGTTTTATGATATAAAATAATCATAAAATTATATCTAATATATAAAATTTACTCCTTTTATGAGTCAATATAATATTATGAATATATATGCAAAATATACTGCTTTTATGATATAAAATAGTGGCATAAGTATATATAACATATAGAAAATGTACTGATTTTATGATTTAATATATTATAATCATATATATAAAAATGTACTTTTTTCATGATATAAAATAATATCATACATATACTATATAGATACATATATAGTATATGTACATATATATACTGTATATATAAAATGGAATCATTTATAGTATATAGTATATATATAAAATGTACTGCTTTATGATATAAAATATTTATATAATTATATATAACATATATAACATTAGCTGCTTTTATCGTATGTAATAATTATATAATTATGCATACTATATATAACACTAACTGCTTTTATGACAAAAGAATTATATAATTATGTATACTATATATAAAATTGCCTGCTTTTATATAAAATTACCTGATTTAACCCCCAGATATATTTGGGGATCCCAGAAATTCCAACAGCTGCCTACACAGTATGTTTAAAACAGCAAGGCAAAAGGCTGACCTCTGCAAAATCAATAGTGGAAGAATTCTAACAGAAGTGGTGGTTAATTTTTTTTTTTTCTTTTTTCGGTATTGGCTGCATTTTACCCTCCCAGAATTCATGACATTAAAATGTCAACATAAGCTTTGTGACAATTTAGGAAAGCTTATGGCTCATTATATAAATATGCAGTTCTAGAAAGGAAAATATAGAGGATTTATGCAGTATAGCGTTTGTGCTTTTTTTTTTTTTTAAACTTTCTCACTGATTTAAAGAGAAAACAAAACCAGTTCCCAGCCCTCAAGTGTTCCCTGAGTTGCACCTGGTTTATTTTGCCTGCATTAATGTCAGGGAACACTTGGAAGCTCTCCCTGTCTCCTGTGAGAGGCTCCAAACGCCCCAGCAAAGGGGCAGGGGCTCCTCACCCTGCCCTTCCCTGGGGCAAGAGGCAGCTCTGATATAAAGACAACACTTTTTTAAGTCAATACATGCATTTTTGACTGAAGTCCAGGTGGACTTAACAGAAATACACATGTTATAGAATTATGTGCATTAGCATATTATTATTTGTACATGCTACTTGATTTCTGCAGGCAGACTCAAGTGCCTCAGCAGACTGATAAAAATCTGCTTTAAAATCTGCTTTGCCCTTTGATTTACATGAAAAGACAAAGTAAACACAAATAATTCAGGTGTCTAAAGAGCACAGAGACAAATGGAAATGGAGCAAATCTATTTGATGCTGGCAGGCAGTGGCTGGATGTTATATTGGTGTGAATTCTGTGTGCAGCCACCACAGCACTGCCCTGCCAGGCCTCAGCACAACAGGATAAAGTCAGAATATTTTCCTTGAATGTCCTGGTTTGTTTTTAATGTGCCTCTAACCTTGGGTCTCTCTCACAGCACCATGTGCTCATTACAAAAAAAACTTTATTCAGACAAGTTCAATATAAACAAAAAGGTCTAAGAGCACAGTAAAAAGAATTGTTATACCTACAGCTGAAAAAAACCTCATTTGCCATAATGACTTCATTTATGCTCAGTACTAACACAACTTCAGTGAGAAAATGGCTGGAAAAATTAACAGAGAGAGACACTTTACACTGAATTATGTGTTGTATCTTATCTTTAAAGTAATATAACTCAACACAAGATTTTGGCACATTAACTGCACAAAACATTTAACATCCTTGTGCTGTAAAATTTTCATTTGACCACTTAATTCAGTTTGAAATGTTTATTAAAATATTTTAATCTAAGATGTTTCTAGACTGTCATAGCTATACTGACATTTATCCTCATAATTTGGACTCCTAAATGTTACAAATGTCCAAGCTGATTATATAAGCATATACCTATATGCAAGACTTTCATTATGAGGAATCATTTGTAATCAGAAGAGATTGGAAATCCACTAAAATGGTTTAATTTTTCTTGTCATGTACAATTTCCTACTGAACACTGACAGATAATCACCAGAGGAATGGTTAGCATAGAGCTAATTTACTGAAGTGCCTTTATATATGTTTTAAAGAAAGAAGTGAAAAGTAGTCAATAAATGACTTTCATGTGAATTTCTGTTTAGAAACTGTTGTCTTCTTTGTTCAACTAATTGTCATTCTACTTGCTAAATACTTGTTTGCATTATATATATTTGTATTTATTTAGGAGTTAATGTTATGTTTTAAGGCATTGGAAAGTAGTAGATTTCAGTTTTGTGACTTTTGTGACCAGCAACTTTGTCTTAAAAGGTTAGAACTATCAACAAAATGTGTCAAGATATTTGCCACTTTTTAATATGCTGCCTAAGACACATTCTGAACAAGTTTTTTCCCCCTTTCTTGTTTCTGTTTCACACGCCCTCATTTTTGGATTTTTGTTTGATTTTTTCCTAGCTAAGCACTGTTAGCTCTGGAGAGGAGCAGGTCTGGTTTCTCTGTGTTATACTGCCCAAGACACATTCTGAAACAAGTTTTGTTCCCTTTCTTGTTTCTCTTTTACACGCCCTCCCATTTTTGGTTTTTTGTTTGATTTTTCCTGGCTGAGCGCTGTTAGCTCTGGAGAGGAGCAGGTCTGGTTTCTCTGTGCGGACCTGGCAGCAGGAGGTGCTGTATAAACAGAGTGAGTGACACCGTGCCTGCTCCTCTCCTCCCCCTTCCTTCCTCCAGCCTGGAGCTGCTCATCCTCAATCCTGGGGCCAGCAGCACTTGGGAATCTCAGCCTCCCCACTGCCTGCTGCATTTCATTCTTGCCTTGAAAACCTTTGTGGCTCCTATTTTCACCTAGTCCTTAAAAATACGCACATTCCTAAGCACGTAAATGAAATTATGTTGCTGTGCTCAGCAAGATCAGTGTTTTCTCACTTATGTTTCCTAAAATTTCAGTAATAAAGAATTGCTCCTAAACTGTCAGACAGGATAGTGAGTATCTGTTTTCCACTGCTTTTTCTAATTGAAAATGCACCTCTGGTACGTTTGTTTGATGGCATACATATAGAAATTAAAATAATGAGGTTTTAAAATACAATACATTGATTGAATTTTTCATGACACCGTGCCAGCTGTACTTAGAATCGTTTTATTTATTTATAACATGTTTCAACTGAATCATTATTTAAGTTAGTTCAGAGCAGGAAGACTTTTGAGACAACTAAAAGCTGTCTGTGCAGAACAGCAGTGAGAGCTGATGGCTTTAGAGAATTTCTACACAGGGATTTCCATCAGGGAATTCCACACAGAATTTCCATCCCGGCTCAGCAAAAATACAACCCGTGCCATCCCACACCACCAGAGAGAGACAGACACAATTAACTCCTCTACTGTGGGCTCTGCAATCACAGGACAAGCATTTCCTAACAGGCACTGCAGCCTCTCCAGCATGTGGCACAGCTGGTTTTACACAATCAGTACATTTGAAAAGAAAAACAGACAAGCAGACTTGTAAAGAGTGGGGCAACTCACCTGTTTGCAACACTTTGCAGGATTTACTCGTTGGTGCAGGGCCAATAGAACTCCTTGGATGTAAATCTCTGCTCCTGAGAGGCTGAAACCTTTTCTCTCAAAGACCCAAACAGGTCCACACAAAGGTCTGATGACATTTTGCAGGCATCTGTCAAAAGCAGAGGAGCTATGCAAAGAAAAGAAGAAAAAGAGAATAAAACCCCCACCAAACAAGCCGCAGAAAATGCATTCTTTTGACCCAACTGAAATACACAGCCTCTAACACAGCCTCGGCACCAGAACTAACTCTTAATATCTATTATTTATATCTGACCTGGGTTAAGTCTTGGAAAAGCAACTCCTGCATTTCTAGTGGCCACCATGAAGGAGGTATTTATGTGCAGACACCCCCAGGAAAGGCTGAGCACACCTGAGTAGCTCTGAAGTGTGCCTAACTAGCTGTCGTGGTGTGCACTGATTGCCTTATCTTCTCATTTATCACAGATGAGTTGGAACCAACCTTGCTGAAACCCGCTTGCTTTGTCCTGATCAAATTGCAAGATCCATGTTGTGTACACAGTTTGCTGTTCAGGGGCTGACACACACCCACAATATTGCAAAGGTAACATTCATAAAATAGAATCTAAGCTCTCAGAAGCTGTTTTTGTATAAACTCCTCTCTGCCACCACCTAAAAACCGACTTCTAACAAATCAAACTGCTCAGCGTGGCTGGTTAATAACAAGAAAGGTCAAATGAAAAAAAGAGAAATAAAATTGATTTGTGGCAATGCTCTCACCAAGATCTTTTCCTTGCTGCTCTTAGATTTCCAGTCACTGCAAAGGTTGAAAGGATTCTCTCAAAGGGGCCTAATGGCAATATGTGAGATAAATAGGGAATTGTTATTTTGGCTTCAGGCATCACTAAGGTGCACGTGCTCTGCACACATTTCTCTGTAAAATATGCAGGCCTTCCTTATACAGCAAAATAAAATAACATTAAGCAACATTTCAGGGGAGGGGAAGGAACCACCAAAATCTGATTTTATGAGCAATAAAATGAAATAAATTCATATAAAGCACATGAACAATGCAAACAAAATTATATGTATATAATTTCCCCATCTAGTCAATGTGCGGACATAAAGATTCACATTAGCTGTGCTGGTATAAAAGGTGGATTTCCTAGGAACATAAAGACTGACAAAGAACTGCAGATTTTGTCAGACAAAATACCAGAGGAGGTGAATTCTATATTTTGTTAGAGTAGGAGATGTGCTCCATTTAGGTATAGCAAATATGAAGCCTCAATAGCTCTTCACTCAGCTGTGAGAGCAGAGCCTGAACCAAGGCCTCAGTTAAGGAACTTTCATATGCAAGTTCTTTAATCACTGCAGACTTTTGGACAGACAAAGAAGGAGCATCTCACATGGTTAAATTTGTCTTCAAGGATAAAGAAACAGGTAATGATGCAACAGACTGTATTTTGCCTCTGCTACAGTCAGTGTATTTCAGGAATTATTTAAGCACATGGTTAAGCAAAAAGTGTTGATTTTTGTGAAAGGCATTACTTTTTTAAAAATGATGTTAAAGTCCGGGTCTTCTGATTTCCACTATTTCATAATAAAATTTGATCATCTAGTCAGTAATTGCATATATTCTCATACAAATATACCTGAGAGCTTCCATATCATACACTTGTCTTTTATCTAAAGGGAGACCAGATTTGAAATAAGACAGAAGATTCATTGAACAGGTTAATATGGATATTAACCTACTCTAATGATTATCTCATTTAGTATTAAAGAGCAATACTGCAAGACTTTTAAAAAATATTTCATCAAAGCAAATATCCCAAACCAGAACATATACACAACAGACTATTAAATACTTGCTTTTAAAACCTGATTTCTCAGGATATGGCCATGCAATTGAACATGAGCAAAAATTATCTCAAGATGACAACAAGTGAATAATAGTTTTTCAGACTATTCTATAATATACTATTCTATTAATACACATTAATAGACTATTCTAATAATACACTTCTCATTCATGGGAGCCAGACATTAAATTAAGTAGATGAGGTGAGATAATGAATGAGATTTGACCAGGAACACTGGTAGGGGTGAATTTACTTCAGTGAGCAGCATCAGAATAAAATCTGTATTCCATGTTATGTGATAAGAAGTGGTTATAGTATTTCTTGGTTTAAACAAAATAAAAGGATGAAGATCTAATCCCAGTGATGTCTTTGGAAGGTTTGCAAATAACTGAAGTGAACTTGGTTTTTATTCAGTTCCTTTTAGCTCAGCTACCATAGGATAGACTTCACAGAAATTAAGATAAAAACAAGTAGCACTGATTTTCTGAGTGCAAACTGGAACATAGCTGTGGAAAAATGTTTGTGTACTGGCACTGACTGTTACATTTGAAACACCAATTATAATACTTACAATACTTTCGTTTTACCACAAATTATTTGAATATCAGTGTAATGCACCAGTGTTGGCTCACTTTTTCTGAAGGTAGTGACCTTCAGGACCAGAGAGGGAGAGAGACAAGATCTGCTGGGGTAGCTTGGAATTTAAAGATTCAAAGGGTCACCTCTTTCAGACACAACTAGCACCCAAATTACTCAGCAACACTGACTATCAGACCCAACTAATTTTCTATAAGCAATAAACATTTCCTTAAACTTCACTGACTTTGTCCACAATGGTATTTACTTCATACCACACTCAACCTTATTGCTTCCAGATTCATAGTCTCAAAGTGCTTGTATTCTTGCTTTCCCCCCCCATTCTTAATAATCAAAATATCAATGATATTAAGTTATTAAGTATCCAATGCAGTACAAAAACATGTGCCCAGAAAGGATAAAGGTAGAACAAGAAAGCAATCACTTCAGAAGAGTACACTTCCACTGAGACATTCCATACCTTTATTCTGTATGGTGATTCCAGAAGACGCCCAACATAAAAAGTCCTCAAGATAGATTAAAAAAAAAACAACTCAATTTTTCAAAAATTCTCCCTAGTTTAAGAACATTTCTGTTGTTCTTATTTGGAGTTGATGTAGGTATGCGAGAATAATTTCCAATGAAGCTGCTTCCAGACTTGCATTCATTTTGGTGATTTACCTAAAACAAAGAAATAATTAGGCTGAACTATCACCTTTTAAAAACTGACAGAGTATCAGCAATGACTTCACAAAATAGCTCACAACTCCACAGGAGTGCTTTAACACAAAGCAATCTACAAAGCAAGGTGAAAAGAGCATACAGGCAAAATTTCCAAAAGATTTGCAAATTTGTTGTGAAGTCAATTACAGCTGATCAAACATTACAAACTGAGCTGTGAGGCAGGACCAGGAAGGTCAATAACAGCAAAATAAGGTAAATTTAACCCTTGCAGGAAAGTGCATGGGTTGACTTTCAGGAACAACTCATCATGGTGTGTCCTGCAGGAACGTAGAGGACAAAGGAAGGTAGCCTTAAGTTATGGAAAACACTTTAAATGATAGGCAAAATCCCTTTTCTTTCTAACTTTCATGCAGAATTTAAAATCCTGCATTAGAACCAAACTGCTTTTTTTCCCCTCTTTTAATGAGTAATTCTCCCCATTGCAGCAGTTCCATCTGCTGGAGTCAGCAATGAGTAAAAGGACAGTACCCAAGGAAGTTTGCTCCTCAGCTAAGCTGAGCGGTGTAAATACACCCTGATTGTTTTTATTCTCCCCCTTATTGATTTTTTGACTTCAAATCACATGACAAACATCGAATTTCCTCGAAGAAAATAATTGTTTCACAGTGTAATTTTACACTCCTCTGAAGAAAAGAGATGTGAAATTTTCCCTAAAACAAAACCCAGGGATTTTAAATTGATGGAGAAAATATCATGATACCACTGTGGCAAATGGAAGAGAGAAATCTGGAAATTTTTTTACCTTGTCTTGTCTTTAAGCTTGCTGAAAATTATAAGACTAAGTTTTCTGAAATTGAGTGACAGAAAGGATGAAATCCAGTAGGGTATCCAAAAAAAGTAAGCAGAATGTCTGTAAAGGAATGGGAAAATCACTCTCTGGCAATTTGCAATCATCACCAGTGGACTGCAAAAAATTAAAATCAAATAAACCAAAATTCAGTTTGTTAACTTTCTTCTTACTTAGAACCATGACCCTACTGGAGCACAGACATCATTTCTTATGGTATTATTTATATTGTGCTGAGTTCCTTTCTCAATCAATTTCTTTTAGCAAACAAGGTACCAAATGGCTTTTTAAATTATTTTTTTTAAGCAAATAGCAGTATCAGAACAACCAGAAATAAGTCATGAACATTTATTTCCATTAGGGGACACACAGATCTTTCAATATGACCAAAATACTAAAAAGTCTTTTTATACTTCTTAGTGACAAAGCTTTTTTCCTGAAGGTACTTTGGTACTTTCAATATACCCTGTACACTGTATATAAATACATGTATGTATATACGAGTGTGTATATAAATATATATATATATCACTAAGGGCATTAGATTGAATTGTTGAATTGGTGCCCACAGTGCTTCATGTTTCTAATTTTTAGCATCCATGATTTTTAGCAATAGATGGCAACTTCTGATTTTTAGCGACCATTTAGCGGTTCCTTGTCCAGGGCAACTGGCACACATGGTCCAAAATTGTAATTTGTATAGGGAAACAATGATGGAGACCATGCATTTTCCTCTGTTGCCTAAATTACATCAGGGTGTTTTTATTCAAACACAAACTAATCTACCAGCTGCTGTGTACTTTTGTTTATATGCTCTATGTCAAATCCTATTGTCCCCAAGGTACTTAGGAGAGATGCTTTAGCAGTCATTTTCTTAAATACTGATGCCTATCCGAATTTGGATTTTTCCACCATTGAGCAGCATGACAAGTACACGATTGCTGTACTTAAAGCAATCTTTCACAGCTGCTTTGCTTTCCCAGTGATCCCATTAAATTGACGGCATATGCCTGTGGGGTCTGCAGTGTTACAATTCTGCTGAACAAGATGTTGATTGTACACTACAAATTCCTACAACACAACTTGGCTTTTTTTATTGTGGGGACCACTCCTCTGGTCATCCTTTTGTTTGTTTTGGTTTTTTACCTGAGCAAAATCAGATTTAAAACCTTGTCCATGGCTGTGCCCTTTACTGAACAGCTGGTTGTGTTAATGGGTTAGAAGTGCAAACTCTAACCCTGGGTGGTTAGTAGGCATGAAAACCTACCAAGGCTCCTCAGTTCCTAAAATGAGCATGAGTCATGTCTTTCCTGGACTGAAGGAAGTAGCTGTGCATTAAATATGCTGGCACATCTTCTGCTTGAGCAAGTGGACCGAAATGGTGTGAATTGTTAATGCCTTGCTGCTTTGGTTCACGGCTTGTGATTGATCATTTGTAACTATATCTACTCCTTGTTCCATGAAATCAAGTATGGAGTAATGGGTTCATCAGATTTTTGGGTTAAATTGAGAGTGAAGAGGTACTGTGTGTGGAAATAAGAGTTGCCATGTTCGGGGCTGGCCTTGTAACAGCATGGAATCTAAAGGCGATATTCAAAACCACTTCACTCATCACACGCTTACTGATTCTGAATAGGGTCCATTTGCAGGGGACATTTGGGAGTTTTCCAATGCACTTTATGCCTCTTTCTTCACTTCTACCACCCTGCACATCTTTTTTTTTAACTAGAACAGCTTATAACAGGTCAGAGTAGAAAATTAATAGATTTAAGTAACTTGCTATGTATAAGTTAAAATAGGCTGGGATTGAAATGAGCGTCCTGCTAATTAATGATGCTACCTAAATATCGTCAGGCTAAAAGAACTTGGCAAAGTTTTACTCAGGTGAAAGAATGACAATCTCAGATTTTGTAGAAACTTATTTTTCCAGGCAGCAAAAGAGAGCTACACAACCTGAACTTTCACTCCTCAATCCTTTCATCGTGTGCAGGAATGGCACACACTTGCGGACATTAGAGCACAGCTCTGTGACTTTGCAAACAGCAGTGTGTGGGACCACAGCAAATCCAAGCCAACAGCAACCAGAAGTGACAACTTGTGATGGCCTGCAGGAGAGTAATCACACACAGTGTCTCCACAGAACAAGAAAGGTAATGAATGTCAAACTTGCTGCCACGCTCACACTGCTCTGTTTGGGCAACAGAAACCTTCCCAGAGTCACTGTGCTGCCTCAGCTCCTCTAGGTAAATTCCACCAGCTCAGAATCAAACACAGCAAGGGGTTTCCCTGTTTTAAAACCACCTATGGAAGTGATTTAATTCCATGTGAATGTTCAGCTTGGAATGAATGAATCACTCTGGTCACATGAAACTTACATCTAGGCTTTCCATCTGCTCTTGTGCTGAAGTTCAGAGACAAAACTGAAATCTGGACAAATTTAAGACCAAAAGAGAAACATGGAGTAACAACAGGCTGCTTTGCTCCTCATTTAGGAGTAAAGAGAGACATGGAAGGGAATTTAATGAAAGTGCAGTGGAAAGGAGTGGACTGCATGTATACATCTGTGTTTGAGATAATTATAACTTGCTTAAGACAGAAATACAGCAGTTCAGTTTCATTTCATGAAATCTGGGGCACACAAGATTCTCCATCTCTCTTCTTCGATATTTATCTTGATGAATGTAAGCACAGCACAAGCCTTTAGCAATCCAGTCCATGCCCAAGCTCTGTCATTAAGAGTTTTGGGGTGACTTCACCCATGAAATATTGGGAAAAACAGAGCCATCACAAATGAAGAAGTTGCATTTTTAAACTAATTTTGAAAACATCCCATCTTTTTCGCCTCTTTTCTCCTTCTGCCTTTTTGTGAGCACCTTGCTGAGGTCAAGTTTCTATATCTCAGTATTACATCAGGCTTTTTTTAACTATTTGGAATAAAAATTACTTTGTTGGCTCCTTATTGTTATTGGGAAGCCTTCCCACACTTACACAAGGAGCTGTGCCACAACTGGAAGATGTTTGTCAAGTCTACAAAGTCTTTTACAAAAACCTAATAATTTTCCCAGGTGTTTCCTTTTTTAAATGCTGACCAACCTCCAGATGCTCATCTCTGTTTTCAAAACATCCAGAGCTGAATGATTTACAGAAATCTACACAGATGCAATTGCATCGGTCATTGAGAGGCTGAGAAGGCTTTCTCAGCCCCAGCGTGCTCAGAATTGTTGAGCACAGGTCATTCTGACACCTTACTGCAACTCACCTGGTGACTTCACAGGCTCACAGAATGCCTGAGCTTGGGAGGCATTTCCAGAGGTTTTTCTACCCAAATCCTTGCTCCAAGAAGACTCAAGCAACAACACATTGGCCAGGGTTTTCTGCAGTGTATTTTGAATATCTGTCAGCATGAGACTCCAAAACACCTTTGGACAAACTCTTCAGTGTCTGAGCAACTCACAGTAAACTTTTTTCCTCTTATGCTGTAGTAGAATTTTCCACACATCAGTTTTTGTCCAGTTTTTTGCTTCTTATCCTCACTCACTGAATTTTACTGGGAAAAAAATCAGGATGCATGTTCTTTGCTCCCTGTCAGCCCAGCCTGTACTTGTGGATTGGATTATGGCTCGAGCTTCAGGCCTTGGCATTTCCCTTTCTTGGACTTTATGGGATTCCTCTCTACCTATTTATGCATTCTTTCTCCAGCATTTACTCTAATATACATAAGTTCACTAAGACTCATAAGAACAACACATATTGCCTAGTTCAATACATGTTTAACTTAAGTAGAAACTACTGGAAGAAAATAGATCTTCATGACTCTGACCAATATCAATTTCACTCTGGCAAAAGAATCACTCCTAGTGAAGCACAGTTTAAAAAAACAAACTACCTATGAAGGGATATTTTCAGCTTTCAAAACAAACAACTCCAGATACTATTCTAAAATATCACTAAAAAGCAGAGGTGGTTTTTCCTGTTCAACCAGATACTTGTACTGCCAGACAGAGAAAGAGGAAAGCTTGATGTCATGACATTTTTTTGTATTTTTATTGATTGAGTCAAGGAAAGGTGCATTATAATGGAATTTAGTGCAGTTTCAGTGCCAGATTAATAAAAACTTTTTTTAAAAAAATTTTTCCTGTTCGTAATTTACTGTCTACACAAAGCAGTATAAGGTAGGTACATTGACTGTGACAAATTCAGTCAGTTCTGTTGTGCTTTCCAATGGAGAATTTTACAGGTGAGTAGAACTGAGTGTGGAGCATTTAGTTTTACTGAAGTATCAAATTTTAATGAAAAAATGTAAGATCTTTCTACTATAATATATATGTAATAATGCAGCCTAACAGTAGGCATTGATGGTAATACTAGAAATATACTGCATATAATACATAAATTGAAAAATTACACTGAAGAGAGAACTATTTTCATCACATGGAGCAGGAAGGCAGGAAGGAGTAGTAGTGGGCTCTTTTTACAGTTCTTTTTACAACAGTTCTGACAGTCCAGTTTCTCCTCAGACAATTTCAGGGACTATTTAACTGAGGATGTCATGCTCTTCTTATTATAAATATTTTAATGACCATGCCCTGCATTTCTTTTAATAACCAAGAGCATATTAATTTATTACCTTTGATCTGAAAGCAGCTGTAAACTTTGAAATAGCCAGAAAATGTTCATAATTAAGGCAGCCATCTCTCTTCCTAAAACGTGGCCTAAAACTCTGCTTTGCTTCTCAGAAAGTGATTAGGACTAGAAGAGAAAAAAGCAGACTGCTTGCAAAGACATTTCTTGTGGTGCAAAACCTAAAGAACACAATGCTCCTTTTATTAATTTACAAATGCTATGTCTTCCATACATATTTCCTCCATGATAGGAGGATTATTTACAGACTGAATTTACTTATTTAAAGTCAGGTACTAAAAATCTTTGGTGTCAAAAACAGCGACATTCATGAATAAGGGAAAAAACAGCCATGGAGATATATTTTAAAATGCCTAATTAAGTTCATAGTGTAAGGATACAGGTATTTGCTAAAACTAACCATTAAAGAAAGCTCAGAGAAATAATTTTTAGCCCCCTTAAACAGAGTTGGAATGATGTCTTACTTATAGACCACATACAAGGGTGGAAGACAGAAACTTTGTGTGTGCTATTCCATTGAAACTGCAAGCAAAAGCTTTCATACCAATGCAGCACCCACAAAAGACAATCAATCTCTGAAAACAGATCAAAACCATGCAAATATTAAAATCCTAGAATAACACAAAGCAATAGCTTTAATCACAAGCTTATTCACTGACTATTTGTCATTTTCAGTTCTATTTAAGGGCACCAACCCACACAAATTATTAAGAAAACAGGATTCACTTTTCAGTCCAAGCCCTCAACGTAACAAATGCAATACCTGTCCTACAAATGTGGCTTTACCACTTATGATAAATTATCAAAAAAAAAAGAATCTGGATTCACTTTTCAGTCTAAATCCTCAATGTAGTAAACAGAATATCTGTCCTACAACCATTGCTTTACCACTTATGATAAATTATAAAAAAAAAAAAGAGCCTGGATTCACTTTTCAATCTAAGCCTTCAATGTAGTAAATGCAATACCTGCCCTACAAATATTGCTTTACCATCTATGATAAATTACCATATAAAGAGTCTGGATTCACTTTTCAATCTAAGTCCTCAATGCAGTAAATACAATACCTGCCCTACAAATATGGCTTTACCGCTAACGATAAATTACCAAAAAAAAGAATCTGGATTCACTTTTCAGTGTAAGCCCTCAATGTAGTAAATGCAATACCTGTCCTACAAACACTGCTTTACCACTTACGATATTGCCAGTTTTTTCTCCACATACCTTGTGTTAGTATCTCACTGGAGAAGCAAGATTCATCCTCAGGGTACCACTGTCCTAGTTGAGATGGCCACAATTTATAGAGCCATCACACAATTCCAGAAAGCTTCAGCCCATGCAGAGAAACACCAGGACACTTTAGGAGGCTGCAAGCTCTGCTTTTTTGGTTTTTTTTTTTTTTTTTTGTTCTTCAGCCCAGCCTTTTATGCCCTCCTGTTGATGCCCTGCCCCTGTGTGCCCTCTGTGTGATTGCTCAGCACCCCTGGGCACTCCCTGGCTCCTCACCTTCAATGGCATTCACCTGTCCTGCACAGCTGGAGACAATTGGGGATCAGCCACAGCCCCACTCCCAATCACCACAAACTCTGTGCTCACATGCAAAACTTTAAAAATTAAAGGTGTTAGCAAAAATAATTAAAATCTACTTCTTTAACAACCTTTAAAAAAATCAAAAAAGGCATAGGATAAGCCCTAAACACCTACAAAGAAAACATTTACCACTACGAGAACAAATGCCTTGGCAAAGCAATCTGTGCTCTAGATAAAATGCAGACATGCAGAACACAGAGCTGTCAAGCATTAGATTTCCAGAAATTACTTCAGTCATTTCAAGTCTAGCATTCTACATAGGCAAATTTATTACAAACACAAGAAATTGCAATCAAGTCTATTCCAGCAATAACTCTAGTCATTTTCGAGTTCAGCATTCTACATATACAAATTTATTAGAAATGCAAGAAATTGCATATTCCAAGTCATCCTGGGGGGGAGGGCGTGAAGGTAGTTGCAGGTCAAGCAAAATGTCTTTTACCAAATGAAAGAATATGAACTAAAATGAAAAAGTTAAAATTTTATTTTTTTAGAAAAAATTAATTTTTTTAATTTAAAAATTTTAAAAAGGAAAAAAATTAAATGCTTTTCAAAAATAAATCTAAATCTCAAATGCTATACACATACATGCAGCAGCAAGATCTTCTTGTAAGACTTTACTTGTAAAACATAAAACTAAAACTGCTATAAAATCTAATTGTTTAACCAAACAGAAAGATGACTGTGTTGAGCAAAATTGTTTGTGTGTAGATGTGGACCATAGAATCCACCATATGGTAGATTCTATGATTCTACCATAATCATGGTAGAAAAGCAATTTAATGGAGCAATGTTTTAGAACTTTGTGACTTCAGCAAGACTCCCTAGCAGTGGGAATTGTGCGGCCTATATTTAAATTAAACTGGGTTCTGCAGAGAGAGGGGGGCTTGGTTTTCCCTATTATTTTTACTCTGGCAGTATATTTTGTCTAGAGAATGTCTGCTTTGAATAAAATTACCATGCTAAACTCTAGAAAGGTCACAATTTCTTAATTTAACTTCTGATTCCAACTGAACATCCAAATGTAGTGATTCTCATTAGTTTAACTGTTTAATCCTAATAGCTTTTAATAAAAAGTGATTTTTCACTTTTAATTCTGCCAGCAAAGATAGAAACTCACCTTTAGAAAACTTTAGAACAACATAATCATGTTTTGGCTCAATGTGTACCATCACAACAGGGAACACCATGAGCCATTTCTTGTGCCCGCAGCATAATTCTAAATTATGGTTACTGTCCATGCCCACATTGTTCTGGTTTTTCCTAGTCATGCATTACAGCTGGTGTTTTAGAGAGAATCCTCCCACCTCTAAGATTTTATGCTGAACCAAATTTTCAGCTTGAACAACATAAAGTCATATAGCTCAGTCAATTTAAAACTTGCATTTCTTGATAGCATTCTTTTAAATACTATTTTCTTGCTACACTTACTTTGAAAGAATTGATTATTGAATATTTGGCTTACCTCCCTCCAGTTTGTACAGAAATCATAATACTTGAGCATATATACAATAGCTGTTTTATTTTGTTCAATACTATTCAGCCAATGCAAAATTATGAAGGAGATGAATCATCACTGTAGAAGTTGTGTGATTAAAGCAAAAACTGTCACTGAAGTGATGCTGCTGAAATTACCTGTCATTCTTTGAAAGAAAGTCTGAGAAAGATAGTGTACAAGTTCCTTTTTGCTGACAGAAATGGCAATACTTTGACCAGGAGAAATTCATTGTTCATGGAGCTGTGTTGAAAAGAAGAGGCAAGAGGAAAATACTAATGGCATTATTCAGCCATCACTCCTGCCTCAGGTCAGGCAGGGCAAGATCCTGAGCTGTCTTTTTCAAGGTGCTCATAGACAACACAGAGGAGAAAAATTTACAAATCTTGTACATTTTAAAAGGAATGTCCCCTGTTTCAAAAATCCCACGTTCAGCTGCAATGACACATGTTCAGTTGTGGAAAATGCCTCTCTTGCCTCGGTAAAATGCACATTCCACAACTGACACTGCAACCCAAACTCAGGAGAGATGCTGCCTGTCCAAAGAGATCCCATTTAAAATAAGACAAAGAGAATACAACATCAATAACATTTTTGGGGTTCTTTTCTTTTTTTCCTTTTTTTCTTTCAATTTTCACTGTAGTTACAGTATCTTCAATGCTGTTCTAACATAATCATGGAACTCTCTTGACGGGGCTGAACATCACCCAAGTTAAAGTTCCATATATTCCCCTCCATTTGCCCATTTCTGCACATATTTGCCATATTTAGGCCCAAATGCCATGTTTCTTACCCAGCTTTAACTCAGAATCCCCTTCTTTGCAAGAGAGAATGGAAGAGGGGAAAACATGCAAATATATTACGATTTATGACAATGGGGTCAAGGTCCTCCAACAGCTGCAGTTTCCAACTAAAGGTTCCTTACTTTTCTAGGCTGAAAATGACCATCTAAAATAGATTTGGGAGAATCAGGTTCAAGTTTAAACTGCACAGTATTTTAGACTTTTTTTGGACTTTGGTGAGACAGAAAAAAAATGTTTCATACACTTATTTTCAAATATAAAACTAATTAGGAAAAAATATATATCTTGGCTATATATCTATGTATCGTGTCCATACATAACTATATATCTTGTCTGTCCTTTCAAATTTTTTAAACATGCTTAACATTTAGTTTTAATTGCATAAGGATAGGCATTTTCAGCATGAAAATTCTTTTCAGTGAATTCTGAATCCTCTTTGCTATAGATCAGTGTACTGATTGCTTTGTGGTGGGTGTGGAGCTAACTAAGTAGAGATGGGAGGGAGGCTGTGAAGATTGTACAGCCTGGTAAATCTGCTTTTTTGAGAACTGAAACAGAGAGAAAATTGTTCAGTGTGTCTTTTTCCCCATTCTTTCAGTGACACAGATCTAGCAGAAGTGAAGTGAGAAAGTCATCCCTTTTTTCAGGGTTTTAGAACACAGAGAATCAAACATCCTTCAGTCTGAAAAGAAATATTTACTGGAAATGCAGAAACAAACACACTTTTCACACAAAAGCAACAATCTGCTGAGCATTTGCTTATTATACATTGAAAACCCCCAGGTTTAATAGTTTAGTTTAAATCATGCTAAGTCAATGACACTGCCAAGGGAAGAAATAAAGTCTCAAATAACAAATAATATTTGTATTTAAGGGGAAAGAAAGTGCTCTGCTTCTGATACATTGGTGATTTGACTGCATCATAACTGGTGTTGTTCCAGATTAGGGCAGTGTGCTAGGAAATTATCAACATATGCACCATATGCACCATATGCTGCCTTTATTCTCCTATTTTCATTAGACATCTACTTCAAGACAGGATGTTGGACTGGATGTGAAAGTCCAGTCTCATACAGTATTGTGATTTTTATGGTAATTTGGCTTTGTCTTCAATTTACTGGCAAGAAATATTTTTTTCTTTTTAAATCACTTGACTGGATGAAATGCCATTTTGAAAATTTAAAAATATTTCTGTTTTATACTTACTATTGCATTGATACCTGTGACACCAATTATTTGCAGTTTATTTTAAATATGCTAACTTTTTGTTGTGTCTTAACCCCAGCCAAGAACCCAGCCCCAGGCAGCTGCTCACTGGAACCCCAGCAGAGGAACAGGGGAGAAAATGGAAAGGGTTGAAGCCAGAAGATTTATGGGTTGAGATAAGGACATTTTATTGGGGAAGCAAAAGCCACACATACAGAAGGAAAGGGAAAGAATGGAATTAATTCCCTGCTTCCAAGGGCAGGCAGGAGTTCGGCCTTCTCCAGGAGAGCAGGGCCCCATCACAGGGAATGGTGGCTTGGGAAAACAAATGCCACCACTCCAAATATTCCCCTTTTCCCCCCACTTTCTATGGCACCACATGTCTGGAATGTCACTGTGGTCAGTGGGTCCCCTGTCCTGGCTGTGTCCCCTCCCAGGCACCCCCAGCTCCCTCACCATGGGGCTCACAGGCAGCAGAGAAGGCCTTGGCTCTGTGCAACAGCCACAACAAAAACATCTCTGTGTGATCAGCCCTGTGTTCAGCACAAATCCAAACACAGACCCACAGCAGCCACTGCAAAGAACATTAACTCTACCCCAGCGAAAACCAGCACAGCATGGCATGCACATAAACACCCAACTGTCCCTCTGCCCCCAGCTCTTCCTCTCACAAAGCAGAACACACATGCCAGAACTTCCCCAGCAGTCTCATTTCTTTCTTTCCATTCCCTTGCAACCTCTTCCCTTGTGCTATGTGCAGTAGATCAGTCTCCAGAAATTATTCCAGATTCAAATGGATGACTTCAGCTGGTTTATTTATGGCATTGGTCATCTGCCCTGTGTGATGATGGAGGAGAATCCTTGCACTGGCCAGGGAGCTGCAGAACTCCTACAATGCCAGGGCACGAGTGGTGGAGACTTCTTTGAGCAGCAGCATTGGAATAAACTGATTTGGAGCACACTCCAAACCAGTCTCTGTCGCTTTTGCCCTGTACCTGTTGGACATCCACAGCTCCCTGGCCAGTCAGCCTTTTCAGCCAGCCCACACATCTCTGAGGAATCATGGATATCACTTTAATAATCAATGTTCTAGGACAAGAGACCCCAGTAGGAAAGAAAAAAAAAGATTGATAAGATTGATTAGTAGTTTGGGGTTTTTTTGTGAAGATTGATTAGTAGTTTGGGGTTTTTTGTGATGTTGAGAAATTACTGCTGAACTTTTTTGCTCCAGTGTACAGACAAGCTTGGTCTGTGTGTTTTGATTATCCTCATCAAATTGAAGG